ACTGGACACAGACAGACCTGGCTGCCCAGAGAGGACAGGCTCAGTGACCGCAGCCTGGACATAGAAACTGGACACAGACAGACCTGGCTGTCCAGAGAGGAGAGGCTCAGTGGCCACGGCCTGGACATAGAAACTGGACACAGACAGACCTGGCTGTCCAGAGAGGACAGGCTGTGCTCCTACTTCCAGCAGGGTGAAGCAGAGACAGAGATGCACTTTCTGCTGCACTGTGACAAATACTCTGGGATTAGAGAAACATTATTCTCTAAAATAACAAATCTAATCTCAGAATTCCTGCTCCTGGCAGAATAATTCCTACTCCCCAACAGAGTTGCAGCCCAGTATGTGATCTCCTGAAATGGCCTGAGGAAAAGACAGTGAGACAACCAAATAAAAATACTGTATTACTGTTGTAAATGTTTGTAAATGTACTGGTGCTTCTTATTGCCTTAGCAATGTTTATAAACAAAATGACCACCAAAAAAGAAAAATATTTGCCTGTTTTATTTAAGAAAAGCACTAGACTCTATTTGGAATTAAGGATTGCTATACAAAGTTATACAAAGTGCTGCAGACATGGAGGCTAAAATGTAATTCAATCAAAAAACAAGTGCACAGTGACACCTGTTCACATACTACATGACATAGAGATAAACCTCCTGCTCTACACTGTCACCTGCATAACAGGGGCTGCAGCAGAGCCTGGCACTGCTGGAGCAGTACTGTCACACCTGGGCACTGACAGCCTATCTGGACAAGACCAGAGACATGGTCATCCAGAAGACAGAGAGATCTTCTTCCCCAGAAATCCCACATCTGCCAGAATCAGAACAGCTCCCAATCCTCCAGAGAGAGGGAGGAGGGAACTCAGTTAAACTGGCAGCCTGTCACAGCCTAAGGAACAGTGATCCTGTCTCTCAATAATGCTCCATATTTTTGTATGAAAAGTTATTGTGATGCGAGTATATATTGTAAAAGTCTGTAGATTTCATGTTAATTGTATTTGTCTGGCTTTGGCAACACTGATTTATTCACTGGTCACGCCAATAAAGCATCTTGAATTGAACTGATCTCAGGGAAACAGGTGCCACGTCACACTTAACAACACACTGGAACACACAATTAGCCATGTTTTGTTCTGAAGATCAGCTCATCCCGGAGTATCGACACTACATGGCACAAACACTCCATAGAAGCCGTGCACACAGAGTTCTGTAAAAATATCCTCCACGTGCACAGAAAAACACCAAACTATGGATGGATGCAGCCCGGATGAATCAGGCCAATATCAATTGCTAATCAACATACAGAAGAGATCAATAAAATAACTGCAAAAAGGCCCTACTGAGCCACGGAGTAAAGCCAAAGGAGAGTCCCATCACCCAGTGGGTCCTGAAGCTCACTGGCACCCACCAACCCCTGGACGGCATAACATGAACAACACAAATCACACCACCACACAAATCTCACAGACAGCGAGCCTGTCTCTCAATAAGGGTTTATGTCTCGTATGTCATATGAAATGTCTGTAGATGTGGTGTTGCTTGTATCTGCTTTGGCAACACTAATTTGTCGGTCAGACCACTAAAGCTCTTTGAATTTGAACGCGAGTGAGCCCGTCTCCCAGGAATGATGCTGTGCATAATACAGTGAGAGGAAAGAGTGAGAGAGAAAGGAAGAGATGGGAGAGAGAGAGAGGGAGCCGGAGAACGAGAGGGTTTACCTGACACATAGGATCGGCCGTTACAGTCCTCAGACTCCATCCTCACTCAGGCGGGCTGGGGACAGAGACACAGCGTCAGAGACAGGGAGGGGGTCCCACACTGCGCTCCCCTCTCCCCCTCCTCGGACACAGACCGGGGCTCGCTCCGCGCGGCCTGACCGAACTCGCCGCACACACTGCAGAGCCGGCGTCTGGCGGCCAAGCTTTAGCTAAATTTGTCGTTTCGAGTTGGTGATTCTGATGTGCCACGTGGATGGTCAGAAATGAAAAAAAGTGCCTAAAAAGCTGAAAACAAATGTCAAGCCCTTCACATCGTCATGCCTGTATAGCTCCAAACGTACCGACACGAGACGCAGAGCTCGCTGGGAGAGATGAAGCCCAGCTGTGCTCCAGACGGAATCCCTCTCGGTGGTCCTGAGCCAAGATCTGCCTGAGCCCCCGCCTAGGCTGGACGTCCCCTGGGGGGACTGGGCTAGCTGACCCACTGGTCCTGAACACCACGGAGCAGATCTGGCCCCGGGTGCAAACCTGTCCAGCAAGGACGCGAGTCAACCACACCGACCGCTTGTACCAGCGCCAGACCAGCGCCAGACCAGCGCCCCTGTCCGCGGTGCCCGTCACGCTGTCCTGGTTTTAAATCAACAGGAGGCAGGCACATCCAGATTTCCCAGGTTTCCCAGAAACCCGCGGCTGGATTTGGAGATTCAATGCTCTTGCTTTGTTTTTGCAGAGTTCCAAACCGTCACCGTACGGGATATCCCCACTCTCTGGCCTAACTGTACCCCCTCACATCCCCGGCGCTTACAACGGAAGGGAGCTGTCCCAGCCACAAACTAACTGGTCCCTGTACCCCCCAAAAGGTTCCAACATTCCACAGCGAAACACAGAATGAAAGCGTCCCAAGACAAGCAGTAACACTGTTCACAGCCTGAGTACTGACCTGGTCAATCACGGACCGCGGGCGAGCCTGTGACCGGCAGGACAGAATCTTCACTCTCCGAGAGGGCTCCGATCCCCAGGACTCTCACATCACCTCTGCGCCCGCACTTATAGGGCTAGTGCCCTGCTGTCTACCCCCCTCCGCACTCCCACCCTCCTCTAACGCACACCCAGGAAACGACACAACAGGTGTGAGTGGGTGAGAAATACCTCGAGCTGAGGGCAGGACAGAGAGAGGCTGAGTAAAAAACAGAGAGATGGGAGGGCAAATGAGTAAAGTAGGACAGATAGAGGAGGAGGAGGAGGAGGAAGAGTGCAAAAGGCCCAGAGAAAGAGTGAG